CATTTGAAATCCTTCTTTTATACCAAGCAATGATCATTACGAATGTAAAACTAAAAATACGAACTAGAATTTCCACAACCTAACATCAAAATTGAAACATCTTTATTTTGTAACTGTTCATCAAACAAGGGCTTTAAATCTTTATATGTTTTAAACCAATCGAAAGAAACATCTGATTGTTCTCTATAGAAGAATATAGAAAAAAAGGTTAATGAATTAACCGAAAAAAAAAGTCATTTAAAAAATCACTCGTTTACTTAGAATAACGTTGATTCCAATACTCTCGAGTTCCATAAGAAGAAACATCATCAGGAATTACATTGACTGTTTAAAATTTTAGCATGGTTAGCTAACCTAATATTATTATACGTATAAAAATCAATTTTTACTATATACTTGCAATTTGAAGTCATCGGTGATAATGCACTATATTTGTGCACTTTCACTCGGCGACACTCATATAATGTCACGGGTTAAAAGTGAGATTTCCGAAATTTGGCGCGTGGGTCACGTGATCGTAGAGTCGTGACTTCGAACGATCAACATTTTGATAATTGCAGATAAGGCTTAAGAGTCACAAGTGGAATATTCCAACGAAAGTGATGCAAACGCGAATCAAAGAGCGTTCGTGGGAATTCTTGCGGACGATGAGCTTGTGTATTCGAAGAAAATAAAAGTGGAAAAGAGTAAACCCTATCCCGTCCTTGATAAAGATAAATTCTGCAAAAATTCTGCGATTGGCCGGAATTACATCCAAAACCTCAGCCAAAAATTTAAAAAATCAATGTTGGCCGAAATTATGATAAATAATGATTCCGTGATTTTCTACAAAGCAGAAAATCATCGTCCTTTGCAGTTGGATTGTGAAAATAATAAAGCCTCTTCCCTTCCACGATGATATGAAAGATATAAAAAAGTTGCATTTTCTCCTTGGACAAGAATAAAAACCTCACGGTTAATAATAAAACTATTAATGAAATTGCTTAAATCCTTACCACTCGGAATTATTAATTACAAATTGTTAAATCACCGTAGTCATGCCCAGTGTCTAAAATTCAGCATCAAAATTGTGGGCTGCAGAGCACAAAAAA